ATAGTTTAATACTAGTTTTATTATTTTATTAGAAATTAGAATCAAACATTATCTCTAGTTATTATTATTTTATTCATTAGTTACTTAGCACTTTGAACTCATCTCCTATATAAAGGAGACTTTATTCACCATTGTAAATCAAATTTCTTTGGATTAAGTAACACAACGTTGAGTACATTTTTGCAAGTGCCGATAGCCCTGTGCCTTCGAAGCATTCTTCATCATTAAGTTCTTCAAGTTCTTCGTGAGAGAGATCTTTACACTCCAATTTACCTTCTCATTGCGGTTAGGAGGGCTGGTTAAAGTCGATTATCGATATTATCTAATCAATTATGGCTAGAAGGGTTCGTAGGAAAATTATCTATCAATCACTATCATCATCATCGTTAAATTACCATTATCATCCATCATCACCAAAAACCTAATTTTGACTAAGTATTTCTATCTTTATTCATTCACCGTCTTTTTTTTATCTTCTTTACTTTTCGTTTATCTTCATTATCTTAATTTTGATTGTTTTAATCTTAATCTTGTGTTCTTATCTTAATTTTTAAGTCAGTCTCTTCTCTATTCAAAGCCCTAGATTGCGACAACAATCTAATCCATCTTTCATCTCGTTCTTTGATTGAGTCTAGACCCCTAAGTTTGATTCTTCAACTGCGAGCAACATTCATCATTCCATTGTCATCCCTACCATGAGATCGCTGAAATAGCTTCAATATCATGTGAGAAATAGGTTATTTTTGTTGGAGTCAACAAACAGTCGATGTGTGACGGAGGTGATGAATGATGAATAACTAGGATTAGAGCCAAATGAAGTGAAAAATAAAAAAAATGAATTTAGATAAATTTAGATAAATTTAGGCAAAAATATATTAAATGCCCAAGTACTTTAAAAAATAATATTTTTTATTTTATTTTTATTTCTTTATTTTAAGTATACGAAATTTGAGAGATTATATTAATCCTAGATTACAACGTTTATTTTAATATTATATCAATCGGGATGAATTCACTTATAACATAGTAATTTACATTGACTATATATTTTATTTAAGATTATTTGTGATGCTAATGCTAATACATTTGTTTTGTAATAGTTTCCCTACAAAAGTATCTTTCAAAACTATTGGAAATCTCTCGTAAAATAAAAAGTGAGTAATTAGTCTCTTGAGTTTTGGTTCAAATTCTACATTGAATTTAAGAAATACCTAATTTTTTTTAATTTAAGAAAGACCTTGAAGAATGACTTTTTTTAATCATATTTATTTATTATGTAAAAACAAAAGGGAAATTAAAGGGTAGAATACAAGGAAATAAGAAAATTCACCGAGAGCCAATCAAAGAAGACGATGAAGCCTTATACTCGAATTCATCATTTTACGCTTTGAGGTCTCTTTCACCTCCTACATACAAAACATATAAAATATAATACAAATATCTAATGCCAAAACTATGGGTTCAAAACATGGGAGATGAAAGGGATACAGTTACCACTTCAGAAAAAGAAGACAATTACTGCTTTAGCCTCCCTTCTTAAATTACATGTCTAGAAAATTGCATGTATATATTTTCAAACTGTTTATCTCTTTAGCATTTTCAGACAATTTTTCATTTTTTTTAAATAGAAACAGAAAATTATGAAATTAAACTAAACTTATTATTCTAAAGGAAAATTCTCCTCCAAGATTGTGAAAACTTTTCCTAGTAAAAGCTTATTAAAAGATGAAATATCCTTTTTTAAAATACAAAATGGGTAAGAATATAAGGAAAATAAAGTTAATTATCGATATAGGTAAACACAACTATTCGCAACGCGAATTTCGCAAATTGAATTTACAAATTTCACAACTCAATTATCGATATAGGTAAAAATGGTAGAAAAAATCCGGTAAAAAATCCGAATTCGACAATTTGAAAACTTAGTTGCGAATTTGACAAATTCGTGGTGCGAAATGTAAAATCTAACATCTTAAAGAAAAAATTAAAGGATATAAAATGCACTGGAGTAGTTTTCAACCCGAAATATCACAGTTGCTAAGTCCACGTATGAATCACTCAGCTAAACCTACGCCTGTAAATGAATTGAACAAACACAAACGAGGGTATGTTCATGTTCGTTCGTTCGTTCTCTCGTTTAACTTTAACCAAACAAACGAACTGTCGAAATCATTTTTTCTTTAAGAGGCGAGATTTTACATTTCGCAACACGAATTTACCAAATTCGCAACTCAGATTTCAAATTGGCGAATTCGGATTTTTGACCTGATTTTTTCTACCGTGTTTACCTATATCGGTAATTGATTTGCGAAATTGGCGAATTCGATTTGAGAAATTTGCGTTGCGAATAGTTGTGTTTACCTATATCGGTAATTAGCATTGCGAAAACGAAATTCGCGTTGTGAAAATTTCCATGATCGAGTTGCGAATTTGAAAACTGTGTTGCAAAATTAGAGTTCGTGTTGTAAATTTAAAATCGCGTTGCGATTTTGTTGGTTATTTTTACAAATTCAAAAAATATTAATTAAAATCGTATATTATAAATCATTTTCGGTCACCGAAGTTATTTTTTTTTTTTAAATAAAAAACACTTTGGGGACATTTTCAATTACCTTTTTTTTTTGCTTTTCTACATTTTTGAAGACCCGAAATTAACCTTCTTATACCTCTTCAATAATTCCATATTGACGATCATTTCATTCCTTTGGCTAGAATTTTCGCAGTCGTTTCAGGTCTTGGCTATCCTATTCACGACCCTCGTTTATGCAGCTGACTACGGCTACAGATTCTGGACGGCGATAGGGTTGCGAAGCGCGTGCTTCCCCTTCGTGTTGAATTGTCAAATCCTGCTGTTGGGCTGCAACGTGGTCTGCCATATCGGGGTTTTGATGTCGCATTTCATGAAAGGCTGGTGCAATGGAATTGGAGCCTGGGTTTTGAACTCTGTTTTAAATGGGGTTATTTTGTTACTGTTATCAAAGTTTTATTTTGTTACTGACCGGCGACGAGGAAGATGAATAACCTATGGACGGGGCGTGCGGCGTTGGTGGAAGAGAGCTATGGTTTTGTTAGGTTGAAGAAAAGCAAGAAAAAAAGGATAATTGAAAATATGTCCCTAAAGTGTTTTTTACTTGCATGAAAACCCATAATTAACATTTTACTTAAAATTCAGAGATTAGAATAAAATTTAACCTTTCTATTAATATGTCTCGTCATCAACTTATTAATAAAATAAAAATATAAATGATTAAATCTTATGGTTTTTTAAACTAGTGAGTAAAAGTGTATAAAAATGAAATATAAGCATAGTTTTTCGAACTGGATCGGTCAACGAATCGGTCGAACTATTGGTTTACTGGTTCAACCGGTCGAATCGGTTAAACCGGTCGTAAGAACCGGACGACGTCATAATTATTTAAAAAATTAAATAAAAATACTAAAAACATTTAATAAAAAATCAAAAAATTTAGGTTGAACCGGTTCACGATCTGGTCCGGTTTGAGTGGTTCAAAGCCGGTTCGAACGTTTCTTGCGGTTCACTAGAACCGATTCAACTGTGGTAGAATGGACCGGACAAGGCAGCGGTTTCCGGTTGAACCGGCCGGTCCGGTCCGATTTTCAAAACACTGAAGATAAGTGACCATTTTTTGTAGTTTACCCTTAAAAATATAAAAGTGAAATTGATAAAGATACAAATATTAAGATGACGTTTGGTTCGCTGGAATCCCTTCGAATTAGGGGGAATTAAAATCCAATTCTACCACTTTCCCATGTTTGGTTCAAGTTTTCAAAGGAGGAATTGGAATCTAATTCCATCAAATAAGGGAAAGTAAATTTCATCCATAACATGATGTAATTTAAATTCTTTGGAGAAGGGAATGTGAAATTTGACCATACAACCCTCATTAATATTTTGGTATTCAAGTCGATTTTTTTTTAAAAAAATCGAGATCGGGTTGGATTTTTTTTAAAAAAATTCGGGTTCGGGTTAGGTTTTTTTAAGTTTGATATTCGGGTCGGGTCGGGTCGGGTTTTTAATTTCGGGTTCAGGTCAGGTTTTTTTTAAGTTTGATATTCATGTAGGTTTTTTAAGTGTGATATTTGGGTCGAGTTTAGGGTTCATGTCAGGTTTAAGATTTAGGATTCAGGTCGAGTTTTTTTAAGTCACTGTTTTTATTGAATAAAAATATTTTTTTTATTATTTCGTGTCGGGTCGGGTGAAACTTTATTTTGGTTGGTCCGGTCGGGTAGGGTCTCGGGTGAAGGTTCCCTTGTTCTCGGGTCGGGTCGGGTTAACCAAAAACCCGACCCAACCCGACCCATGACCATCTCTAATTGCGATGATTTTAACTTATGATTTTTATTAGCATGATTTTTATAATTTATTGAAATAAGTAATTAATAAATAAAATGAAAATTTAATATTTTTTAAATTTTTATAATAATATATTATTGCATGTAAGTTATAAAACAAACTAAAATAAAGTAAAAAAACAAGAAGGGTAATTCTGTCATTTTACATTATTGAAATCAAATTCATCTGACATGTTTGCGAACCAAACAGAATATGAAATTGGATTCAAATTCAATTTTCTACCAACCAAACAGGTTTCAGATTCAGATTCAAATTTTTTTCATATATTACAATTCCCTAAAAAATATTCCAACAAACCAACCTAAGAGTTAAATTTATTTAATATTTAAAATCAAGGGACTGATCTGTGTACACGTGGAAACTTAAAAGCTCTATGACTATGTTGCTATGCACGCAATGATTGGATATTACGATACACACGTAAGCAAATCTGGACGGTTCTCATCCCTCCACTTTTCGCTATATCAACGGTTAAAAGTATAGTTTTCGCCAACAATTCTACATTTTAATAAATAAAAATCCTTTAATCATTAGCTTACACCATTGCATATTGACCGTTGGATGCAATTTTACTTTTAAAAATTGGCTCTATAAATTCAAGAGGAAGACGAATAGTGGATTGTAACAGTTGAAAGAGAAACCTTGTGAGAGAAAGTAAAGGCAAAGGAAAAAATGGAGATGAGTGAGAGATCCTAAAATATAGGGTTTTCTATTTTTCCCTTTTAGATTTTCATTGATTAAGAAAATCTCTCTCATTCTCCGATATGTTGAAATTTACCCTTATTATCAGTGAATTCAGCGTGCTTTTCGAAAAGTTTCGATTTTTCTTATCCACTCCACTAATAGCTGTTTTTTTCCGGTGAAATTCTTTTCTCTGAGTGCTTGTTTCGTTTGGTGGTCATGGATTATTCCGATTTTACCCAGAGGGGCTTTTTTTGAAACAGAATCGAACCACCTATTCTAAAAGTTTTGATCTTTTAACAGTTTTTTTCTAACTAAAAGAAACTGTCTTTTCTTTTTTGTAGTGGAAGTTCTAAATTTTGGGCTTTGAGATTTTGATGACTCTCGTTGGACGAGTTTTGAGCTAAGAGAAAAGGATCATGAACGGTGGACTTTAAGAGGGGAAAACCAGTGGTGCTGGAAAAAGACCCGTTTCATTTGGGATAAATTTGTCTGGCTTTTTCTTTTTTCTTAAAAAAGAGAGAGAGACGAATCTGTAGAGAAGGCAGTTTGCTAGAGCTTAATTTACAAGCTTTTGACTTTAATCATGATTGAAAAAAACATTGGATTCAATTAATATCTTTCCAAATTTTGTTCTAATTTTGAACTTGATTGGTCGTTTCCTAATTTTCTAACTGCAAGAAAAACTAACCATTGAAACTTAAACAAAAGGGATTATGGAGTTTTAAGGTTGTTAAAAGATGGCAGTTTCCTTTCCTGGTTTTCCATGGTGGTTTAGGGGTGGTGGAAATAAGGAGAAACCGCCTGTTTCAAATGGGTCTTCTTTAAATTCTCTGAATTCTTCTTCTGATTGGGGATTGGGCTTGAGAGAGTCTGAAACTGTTAAATTCCCAGCAAAGATATCCCGGAGGAAGGCAAAGGCAAAGTGGCAAGGCAGTGAGGAGAGGAGGGTGGTTGATGAAGAATTTGATGTTATGCTGGTTCCATCAGAAGGTGTACATTTATCTGGATACGAATCAGAAGGTCCAGAGTGGTCCATTGGGTGGGAAGAACCACATGGTCCTGGTTTTCAAGGCCACGATGAAGATGATGGTGGGTTTGCTGTGCTGGTTCCATGTTATAAACCTGGTTGCAAGGAACTTGTTCAGAGCCCCAATAACCAGCTCTTGACTGCAATCGAGAACCTCCCTACAGGGTTCTCTTCTGGTGAGAGCTTATCCTATATAAATCTAATTAATTCCCTTCTTCCATTTCTGATGTTTAATCTGATTGAATTTGGATTGACTACTTAGAATCAGCTTAAAGTTTTAACTTTGGACAATGGACTTCGTTTTTAAGGCTAGTCGATTGTTTTTTTGTCATCTTTAGTTGCATGAGGACTCGGTCTTTGAAGCTACATGTTCTGTTTGATTAATTTTGAAGTCTTTTTATATCTGAATCTGTACTTGCCTACTTGGTGAACGGTGGAGAGCAACCTCTAGTGTGAAAAGTGACTATTTTAGCTCCCTTAAATATGGGAAAGTATAAACTGAAATGTTGGTATCCTTTATCTCCTTTTCATGTTGGATTTCATATTTATTTGCATGTTAGGGTGAGATTGGGTTGGGGGGTGGGGAGTGTCAGGATAGTATGAAGTATCTACCACTGAGATAATTGGTCGGTAATCGCTGATGAACTTGTCCGAATGTCTCAGTGGACTTTGCAGTATATCAATTTATTGTCTATACAAATAATTATCTATGGCATGGAGGTGAGGTTTCGAACTTATCATATTATCTTCTCAATATGATGGATTCCATGTTGCAGTTCTTGTTATTTGTGACTTGTGGATGTTTCTGGGCTTTTAAAAGATGTTAATACATGTACATTTTGTTGCCTATAACTTTGTCTTTGCATTTTGGCCTAAACATGCAGAGGGAAGCAACTCGGTGCAGCAGTGGTTTTCATCCTTCCCAAACTTCTGAACAAATGGAATGACTAGTCTCTAGGTGAAGTTGCTCTCACTGAAGTACTATTACCAATGAATAATGTGGATATATAAGAAGCGGCCGATTATGGTAGAGATGGGATCCGCAGTAGCTTGTAGTAGAATTCAGGTGTTAACAACCATGGAGGATGTAGCTGTTATGGAAGAGCAGCAGAGCAGGAACGTTTCCAGGATGTTACTCTGTCCTGATTGGTCATCCTCCCAGCTTAAAATGACCCGTGAAAATACGGTGGAGAACTTTTGTTACCTTTTATGTAAATAATGTTAATGTGAATATGCAATAGATGATCCTTGCTACCAGCTCACTGCTGCTGTGTATAATTTTGATCCAGAGTAATCTATTATCATAACAATTTTGTATATAATATGAAAAGAGGACTAAATTCTTTTATGTACCTCTTGGTTCGATATTTCTCAAATCTCATCACTTCAATTCACTGTTTCAACCTATTACTCAGATGAATGATGGAGCTCCCTTTAATCTTCATATTTACGGCGTTACGGTTCATTTGTGGACTGCTTTTTTTTTCATATAAAATTATTGCGTATACTTGGTGTGATGCAGGAAGATCCTGCAGTTTTTTTTTTTTTTTTTTTCCATAAAAGCTTAGGAGAAAGGGTTGTTGAGCTGGTAAATGCTGATATTTGCAGGCCTAACATTTGATGTCCAATGGCTTTCGTCTGCAATCAGAAGCATTGCCGGTTTAGGCTCCCATTGTCTAGTTTCATTTCTTCTCATCTTTTACCAAACCTCATCTGTATTGATAACGAATCTCTGATCTTTTAATATTTTTAAACAAACGTATCTATATTTTATATTTCAATAATGTGTAACAGTCATTTAAATAATAAAATAATAAAATTATGATAAATAATATTTGGATGTAAGTATTCATACTATATTTAGTATATATATGATGATTTATAAATAATTAACATTACGTGAATTTATATTTTGCAGATTGGGTTAGGATTTGGTATATGATTTTGGGTGTAAATTTGGGGTTAGGGATTTTTTTACCTAATTAAATTTTATTTTATTAAATAGAAATCTTATGTGGCATCTTATGTGACTGAGTTTTAATATTAAAATAAATTAAGTCAACGAGCTGTTAGTGATATAACAGTGGAGTGACAAAAAAAGTTTAATGTATAAAATTCAGTAAGCAAATTGAAAATTTTGAAAGTACGATGAGTAAAATAGGAATCACATGAAAGTTCAATTCTCAAATTTATAATTTACGCAAAATTCATTTAGGATGTGAATTTATAATTTACCCAAAATTCATTTAGGGTGTGTTTGATAGTTGAAAATCTTTTTTTTTTCTTATTTTTTTGTTTGATTGTTGTAATTGATTTTAAGGAAAATATTTTATGATGTTTGATAGCTGTAATTAATTTTTCCAATGTAATTCATTTTCCTAATTCCTTCGTATTTTATATAAAATGTTTTATCATTTGATTTTCCGTAAAAACATTTTCTTAACTTTTCACTTTATAGTATATGCACTCATAAAAACATTGTATTATTTATTTAATATTAATTTAATATGTTAATATCATTTTAATAAAAATATTTAAGTATTAAAATATTTAATATTATTATAATATAATTTTAATAATATTATATTTTTAATATTATATTAATATATACTCAAATATATTATAATAATATATGATATTATATTTTTAATTTAGTAATATATAATTAATATTATCTATTATTTTTATAAATATAATTTTATTAAATTATTAATAATGAGTAATATTAATTTATGCATTTCATATTAATATAATAATTTTGTATTATATTAATAAAATACTAATAATTAAAATTAAAGATGTTCAAACGGTTCATTTGATCACCTATCGAATTGAATATCATTAACCGAATTAACGAAACATTTTTCTTTAATTGTTAATCAAATTGGGTTTTTAAATATTAACTACGCCAAACTTTATTCATTTATGTAAAAAAAAATTTATAAAATTAATTATAGTGTATCAAACAATCAGTGAAAATAGTTTACACTATCATCAAAAAGCCGTAAAATAGTTTTCGAAAACTGTTTTCTAGAAAATGTATTTCATTGTACATAAAACAGTTTTCATGTAATTCATTTTACGTAAAACAATTTTCAAATAATCCATTTTACGTAAATTATTTTCCATAAAACCAATCGCAGTCTATCAAACAGATCGTTTAGTCTAATTTTAAAGATCCAAAGTGAACATTAAACTGTGATAGTCAACAACTTTTCATTTAATATAACTCAAAGCATTTGTAATATATATTTATATTGTTTTCTAGTGGTTAACCTAACTCAGTTTTCTTCTTCGGTATTCTCATTTGGTTAAAAATTCAACCATGATACTAAGCTACAAATGATAGTTCCTTACTTTGATCTTTAAACCCTATTAAAAGTATCTTCTCCAAAGGGAGATTAACAAAGCAGTTTAGCTTTTAACATCACGTTTCATTTCGGTAGATTCACGTATGCAGGCATTTGGTCGGTCCGAGCTTTTTTAATTTTTATTGGTAGCCAAATGGAATAAACAAAATATGGAAAATTTAAAGAATTTAAACCGAATTAAAAAGAAATAGTTGAGGTTTTAATCAAAACAAGAGTTTCCATTAACGGATTCCAACCGGAGCTTTGAATAGATTTAGGTCAGCATATACAGCTTATAATTGCAATAAAATTGACTGTTTTCCACCTACACTTACATTTAACGAAAATAGAAAACAGTGGGTTATACCGACGGCAAGCTACAGGCTCAAACTTTGGAACTGATTTTGTAAGGTACGATGCAGGCTTAGTTGAAACTAAATAACGAAATTAAGACGAACCCTACATGATCTCATAAAAAGAAGAATCATTTCTTTGTTGCACATAACATGAAAGAAGAAACAAGGTTTTGCATGCTTTAGGGGTATTACCAGTTAGCAGAAACCAAGGAAAGAAAGATTTCTTCTTTGCTGCATGTGTTTGGTAAGACAGAGGCTAAGAAAGTAAGGAATTTGGAAGGGGGGAAAATGCAGCAAAGGGCTGCTAGCAATGCATATTCATGGTGGTGGGCTAGCCATATAAGAACAAAGCAGTCAAAATGGTTGGAACATAATATGATATTTTGATTCTTTATGCGTGACAAGGAAGAGATGAAATTTCGGTATGATTTTCGATTTCTTTTTCTTTTTGATGATTTTGATGATGAGCTTTTATAATTCGTTGAATTTTGATTATTTGTGAAACTTTTTATGTGATCGATGAGAAAATACAATGAAATTTGCAGATATGGAGGAAAAGGTAACATATGTGCTTAAACTCAATGAAGAAGATGGAGATTCCTTTGCAATTAGAGCAGAAATGTACTTCAGAAAGAGGCCATAGTTGATCTGTTTCGTGAAATAAACATACAGAGCCTACCGTGCCTTGGCCGAACGATACGATCGCTTATCAACTGAGCTGCAAAATGCCAACAACAGAATTGCTTCCGTTTTTCCCGATCAAGTCCAGTTCGTGATGGATGATGATGATGAATATGGCTCCCCGAGTTTCCGCAACAAGTCACTGGAGAACTTAAAAGGCGATATCCCTGTGGTTCCGAAGCTCCCTGTCAAGGACTTGAAGGGTTTAATATTATCAGCTACCAAGAAAATGAAACATAAAAAATCACCAAAATATACTACTCCTGCTGTTGCTAATTCGGAATTGAGGTTGGCCTTGGATGAATCTTTGAGTGTTGCAGAAATGGAGGACAAGATTGATGAACTTGTGAACAAGGTGATCAACTTAGAAACTGCTCTCATCTGAGTCTGCTCTTATCCAGAGACTAAGCGTAAAGACTTATGATTTGGAAGTAGATAAATGCGCTCTCATTGATGTAAAAAATCATTTGATGAACAAGTTAAGGAAGATGGAAGAGAAGTTGCATTGGATTCAGGACTTGAACCGGAGTGTCGAAGACCGAAACAACGATCTCCAAGCTCATTTAACCCAAGCACATTGGAATATCGATTGCTTTCCGAGGGAAATGCATAATGTCAAGCTGGATGAGGTTGAATCATCATAGAACAAGGTCAACGATTGTGACAGGATGAAGAAGAAGATGAATGCAGGCAGAAAATTCGAGGTTTCAGAGAAATCTGAAGTGTCACCCTAAATTAGGGCCTATTTTTTTTTAATTTTTTCGAGGACTAAATTGAATTTTTAACTAAATTTGGGGGCCAAAGTGAAATTTTGATTAAATTTGGATCCAAATTCAAAAAGTATAAAAAACTAGAAGACCTAGAGTGTAATTACATCATCTTTCATAAGTGTGGTTTAAAACCCAAATATTCAAAAAGTTTGAACCTTCTTTTTATCTCTCTCTTCAAAACTTCCCCTTTTAGCCAAAAATTTTTAATCGACGTTTAGTCGCCTATCGTTGTTTCGTTTTTCACTCCTCCCGCACCATGGTGTTCCTTACATATTCCTGAGTTCAACGGTAGCCACCTCATTGTCGTTGCTGCCGACGTGTAAGGGGTGAGGAAGATCAAGTTTCCGACGTTACGAAATCGAGCTCTCCGCTGTTCACCGTTGTGAACCGAACTTGATAAATGTCTCAAAACCCCTTAAAAAGTATATAGGATTTTTTTATGTAATTTTTTGACCCCCAAAGTCTCCGCACGCGCCATCGTTATGCATGGAGAAGTTTCATCGCCTTGTGGGTTTCTAGAAATGATTCGACCCGCCTACCCAACCCGATCCGACCCGACCTGTTCCAACCCGAACCGGTCATCTGTTTACCGTTGTCCGACCTTTGATCGTTGATCATTGACCGTTGACCGTTGATCGATCGTTGACCGACTATTGACCGTTGACCGTCATTGACTTTTTTCGAAAACCTCGATCTTAACTTTATTCGACATCTCGAGTCTAATTCCACAAACCGTTTTACCAAATTCTAACCCGAAAGCCCCCAAATCGAGCCCGTTAATCCAAAAATGCTTAGTATTTTTAGTATTTTTGCTTATTTATTTGTGATTTGAGTATGAAATTGATTCGAGAATATATTTTTATGAAGATACTCGTGTTTCACCCGACCGAGAGTTGGTTAGATCCGATGCTTCTCGTCCATCAGATCCGCATGATACCCGTTCCTCGAGAATCACTCGTAGGTATCTGTAAATTGTTTAAATATGGGTTATTGTTATTTATATATTAGGATTTCGATATAGATTTTCCAATTCGTAAGATCTAGCGCTGTTGCTGATCGTGATCGGCAGACTCAGTAGTAGGCTTCCTTATCGGCAGACTCAGTAGTAGGCTTCCTTATCAGACTACTCAGACTGGTACATGTGTGTTTCCTGATGGTGT